CCACATTAGAGTTAACAACATCTCCTCCATACACTAAAGGGTACATCTTCTTGTTCAACTTGTATGAAGTTATTCCCTGTCCCTGAAATCAAACCAACCAAGGAGATGATTTTGGATCAAAATTGCAAAACGAAAATGATATGTAGTTCATTGTTTAAAATCATGATGCGTCTTCATATGATTGGTTTTTTTTATTTTTAGAAATTCAACTGCAATATTGTATATATGTAGATTCATAAAATGACATGTATATTACATTAAGGGATGCTCATTGCCAATCTATATTCTTACCATAATTTTGGTGCCACTTCCTAACAAAAGAGGGCTAGAGAGTTCCCGGTCAACGGTGCTAGCGCCAACAGTGATTATCCAGGGAGCCGGGTTTGACAAAGTCGCCGGTGTAGGCCCGTTGTTTCCAGCAGCACACACCACCACAATGTTGTGTTTGACAGCATGTAATGCACCAATGGCAATCCCATCATCAGTGTAGTCGGTAGGTGTACCGGTTCCGATTGAAATGCTGAGCACATGCACTCCGTCAGCTATAGCATCGTCAATGGCGGCAAGCATGTCAGCTTCCATGCATAGGTTATTGCCTACAGAAACGTTGGGGGGATTGACCCAGCATGCTTTGTATATGGCAAGGCGGGCCATTGGAGCCCCGCCGGAAGCCACGCCACTTGCATACCCTCCACGGGCAGCAGTAGGAACTCGTCGACCAGCCGCCGTGGATGCCGTGTGAGTTCCATGGCCAGCGACATCGCGAGGAGAGAGGAAGTCCGCTGTGCGATTTAACGGGCCGTATTGTTGCTCATATTCCTTGACGTAGTACCGCGCTCCAATGATTTTCCTATAAACAAAAGTAAATTAAATTATAAATTCAATTCTCAATTATAATAAATTATCAGTTTCACCTATAAATTATTTTTAACAATTAAATCATAAAAAGTCTTGGACGCTCTATTTTATTTTATCATGGTAAATTAGTATCAATGACTTGTTGGTTCGAGTGAAAAAGAGTTTAATTTTTTTTAAGTAAAGTAT